TCACACTTATCATTTGTTCAGGAGAAACAGGGCTTTCATGTTACAAATATTTGTATATCAAGCATAATTTAATATGAATAAAATATAAAAAAAAATGTGAGAAAATAAGATACTGTGGTTTTTTTTTTTTTAGTTGTGAAACTCTAGTAAAAAAAAACTGGCCAAATTTAGCATTCATATTTGTTTGTGAGTAAAAAATGCAAAAAAACTAAATTTAATGCTATTTTTGGCCAGTGTTTGTGACTAAGTGGCTACTAAAACAGACTGGACATACCCCATTTACAATTCCTTGGGTTGTTTACTTTTTCAAATGGTATGTCATCATACTACCATACGGTCTTAAAGGGACACTATAGTCACCTGAACAACTTTAGCTTAATGAAGCAGTTTTGGTGTATAGAACATGCCCCTGCAGCCTCACTGCTCAATCCTCTGCCATTTAGGAGTTAAAATCCCTTTCTCTAGTCACACCTCCCTGCATGTGACTTGCACAGCCTTCCATAAACACTTCCTGTAAAGAGAGCCCTATTTAGGCTTTCTTTATTGCAAGTTCTATTTAATTAAGATTTTCTTATCTCCTGCCATGTTAATAGCTTGATAGACCCTGCAAGAGCCCCCTGTATGTGATTAAAGTTCAATTTAGAGATTGAGATACAATTATTTAAGGTAAATTACATCTGTTTGAAAGTTAAACCAGTTTTGTTTTTTTTTCATGCAGGCTCTGTCAATCATAGCCAGGGGAGGTGTGGCTAGGGCTGCATAAACAGAAACAAAGTGATAACTCCTAAATGACAGTGAATTGAGCAGTGAAATTGCAGGGGAATGATCTATATACTAAAACTGCTTTATTTAGCTAAAGTAATTTAGGTGATTATAGTGTTTCTTTAAAAGCAACATAACCTGTCTGGCAAATTTCAATGTGGAAAAAGGAAACTCAAGCCTTATATTTGAAAACTTTTGAAAACACCATAAAACCTGTACATGGGGGGTACTGTTATACTTGGGAGACTTCACTGAACACAAATATTAGTGTTTCAAAATAGCAAAATGAATCACAACAATTATATCGCCAGTGAAAGTACAGTTTGTGTGTGAAGAATGCAAAAAAAAGTCATGTTTACTGACGATATCGTTGTGATATGTTTTTTACTGTTTTGAAACACTAATATTTGTGTTCAGCAAAGTGTCCCGAATAAAACAGTACCCCCAATGTACAGGTTTTATGGTGTCCTGGAAAGTTACAGGGTTAAAGATAGGGTTTGGGAGCCAAATTCTCTGGACGTTCTACTTGGGGTGTCGGGCAGGTCCCACAGATTGTAATTAATAAAATGACTTAACTATGTAAAAATATTATAAATATATTTGTAGAATTTAAGTGTGTGTATGTGTATATATATATATTTTTTTGTAATTATTTTTATTTATTTATATTTTGAATTTCAAAATGTATATTAATATCAAAATACATTTAGAACAAATTAAAATTACACCTCACCTAAGCAAAAAAATGGGGGTTTAGTTATATTATATGATCATACATTGCATAAGCCTGCCACAACGTCAATGTACTCCATTCTCGGCAGGTCCTACTCTAGGGTACACTGACATTGTGGCAGGCTTATGCAATATATGATCATATACTGTAACCAAACCCCAATTATTTTTTGCCTAGGTGAGGTGTTTTTAAATAAAACTATTACAATCTGTGAGATTTAAAATCATTGTGTAGTGAATAAGCGAGTGCGCTGGATTGTGTATTTTGTATGTTGTATATATTGGCCCCAGCAGCACCCTATAACATGTATGCATGTTCAGGTGAATGCAACCCTCTTGGTTTCGTGTATGTATGTATACGTCTGACAATACTACCTTGTAGACACGTCGGAAAGATTCATCAAAGCAATACAGTTGCTAAAATGTTGAGAGAAATTATGTTTATTGGGTTTAATCCAGAATAACACCTGCTGCTGTCTTGATAAACCTCCTCATTAAAGATTATTGCTCTTAATGACTTTGGGCGATGAACAGACTGTAACTCTATTCATCAATGTCATCTTTTATAACAGGAAGCCTATTATCCTATTATTTGAATAGTCTTCTATACATAAATTCTTACCCTACCCAATAAGGGAAGCCATTAGCAAACACATTTTGTACAGTGAGGAATCCTGTGTTCATGTTAGGGCTGTAGGGTCAGGAAACATAGTGATAGTATATAGTCAGGGATAGGCAACCTTTGGTACTTAAGTTGTTGTGGACTACATCTCCCGTGATTCTTTGCCAGCATTGTGGCTGCAAGAGCATTATGGGAGAGACCTTGGGACCAGGGAGAAGGGGATTGAGAGCAGGACGAATTTTGGACCGTGAAGAAAAGAGGGAAAAACCATCATTAGGAATGTTTAATCTAAAATTTTAACAAATAAAGAATTGTAATTTCTAAACAAAGGCTTAAAGTTTGCCCTTACTAGTACTAACAAATCTTTCAACACATTTATAGACATTCAGAAATTTATTAGAAAACTTTCTCAAAAAACATTTTAAGAAATTTCCAATCGATGAGGCTAGAGGAAAAAAAACGATGATAATTTTATATGCACAAATCTTAAATATAAATCCCAATTTTTTCCTAAAAATCATATTAGTGGAGAAATTAAAGTGTTTGAAAAATTGGTTACAAGAGATGTAAGAAAAATATCTACGAGGAAATTAAAGCCCTTCAAGATCTCCATCAAGATCAAAGCATTATTATCAACCCAGCAGACAAGGGTGGGGGCATCGTCATATCGAATGTTGCAGACAGTATAGACAATTCAACGATGCCTCCACCTATGTCAGACTAAATACGGATCCTACCCCAGACATAAGAAAGAAATATACACTTTTATTGAGTAAGAGAGTAGAGAATGGGATCTTAGAAAAAAATAAAAATGAATATAAATATCTGAATATATCGGTATGTCGTAAACCAGTATTTTACATACTTCCAAAAATCCATAAGGACCATAAAAAACCTCCCGGAAGACCCATAGTATCCAGGATTGGTTCCTTACTAAGCAGACTGTCTGAGTACATCGACAGACAACTTCAGCCCCTGGTCACATCACAACCAACATACCAAATTTATTACAAATTTTACAAAATATACGGTGGCAAGAAGATTACCACTTTACATGTGATGTGTCCAGTTTATACACGATCATTTCACATGAATTGAGCTGTGAAGCCATTAAATATTTCTTAGTACAGAGTAATAAATGTATTTATAGCCAAGTGGATTTTATAATAGAAAGCACAAAATGGAGAAATAAAGTAAACAGAGTGCAGGTCAGGAGTCCGGATACAAGTCAAGGGCTCATGAGCTGCACCACTGTAACCACCTAATAAGGAGCTTCAATGATGGGGTAACCCTCCAAAATATGTAGGTAATATGAGTAGGTGATGTGGAGTCTCACAAGGGGAAACCAACATCAGGAGAGCTCCACTGTATAAGAAATGAGGAAGGGAGGCCCTACCTTTAATCAATCTAAGGATAAAAAGGGATATGCAAACAAAAAGTATAACTTGAAAAAAAGGGAGATCTATTAAACGGTGCCCAGGGGATCAATTGTCTGGAGTACTAGCTAGCATCTAAGTTCCAGTTCCCCAAGTGTCCGACTGACAGGAAGGTAGTGTAAACGAGGTTAGGCAGAGAGAAGAGGCAAAGGGTCCCCAGAGAACAAGGGACTGGGTAATCAGGTCTAAACGAGTGTTTTCTTTTTCTTTAATCTCTGCACTTGGTAGCACTTTTTTATTTTATGTTTTATTTTATGTTACCACTATGGTTATTAATTTTTAGGTGTTTATTTATTTATAACTTTAGTAGGCAGAGTTGGTTCAGGTAGACACTAGGAGTTAGACCACGGTGTCGAGGTAACTTTTAGGGTGAATTGAGAGATTTTCTTTATTTATTTTTTTGTGTGAGGCTTTTCATCTGCGTTTAGACCTGATTACCCGATCCCTTGTTCTCTGGGGACCCTGTGCCTCTTCTTACACAGATTGTTTTATTATTGATTTTTTTTTTTATTTCACATTGTATTTGAGTAAATTTGTTATTTTTACTACTACTAGTTCTGCTTTTCCTGATCCTTGGGTGAATCAACAAAACCATCCAGGATTCTCCACACCATTGGGAGCTATATACAGAGCCTGGCACGGCTCTGTAATCTGTGAGTGTATCCATATATTTTATACTAATTTATTGGTTATTACAGTAAACACTATGTACAGTTTTTTTCTTTGTGTTACTTTAAGACGTATATATGGAATATCATCTACATATGTCTACACATGTATAATTATTTTTTTGTTACATAACACTGGTACTATCTATACACGGGTAGATGTGTGTATACTTTGGCACTTGTCATTTAAGTATCTATCTTGGTTATCTTGTTTTAAGGTGTTGGAGAACACCTTTTCACACTCCACAACCGTGGTAATACTGTGAAAGTGCCATTCATTTATACTTTTGATCATTATGGGAGATATAGTCCACAACATCTGGAGTGCCTAACCCTGGTATATAGGATCATAGTCATTGTTAGGTGGCGGCTTTAGGTTTTGCAGCCCTGGATGTGTTGCTCCCCCACGCAGGGGCCAGGATCAGAGTGCTTTTATCTTCTCATATTAAGCATATTAAGCATTGAAAAGCAATCACATTAGTGTTTGCACTTTACTGAGCTACTATTTGTCACACTGACAAAAATCATGATGAGTCGATGGGTGATCATCACACTGCACTCTCAATACGTGCATTGAATGCTGCCGACAGATGTCGGTTCGTAGTTACAGTCTTTGAAAAAGAGTAATGAGCAGTAGGTCTTAGTGGAGATAGGGAGAGAGGATCAAAAGATAGGAAATAGGGCAACACAAAAATAAGCATTTTTTTACACTGTTGAATTATTATTATTATGTTATTTATATAGCGCCATCAAATTCCGCAGCGCTTTACAACAGGTGGACGAACAGACATGTAGTTGTAACCAGACAAGTTGGACACACAGGAACAGAATTAAAGTTATCCTAGGTGGCAAGTCAGCTTGTCAGCTAAGATTGATGTACAATGCAGTGATTCTGAAAAAAAATAAACCGCCTCTGGGACCAAAGGTTATTATTTAAGTACAATAATGATGTGTTTATCAGAAATGTGTTATAAATGTCTAATTATTTTACAGTTTTTAAAGTTTGAGGAGTGATTTTGTGTAGTTTGTGAATTGCATCATTATGTAGCCACATTTTACTAAATTGTATACTGTGGCTATTACCAGCAAGTACATTAAATTACACATTTAAATGCTATTGTACCTTTACAAGTCTCCTAATTACAGATGGAACACAGTGCGTCTTTTGCTTTTTTACATGTAGTCAAAGTACAGAAACTTTTCACATTATCCCATTCATACTGTTTGTCGCTTATATATTTTGCTATAGATTGAACATATTTCCCTCCTTTGTTTGCATGGTATGCCGATTTGAACAAAAGGTCTTCTATTTTGAACAAAATTAATATTTTTTTTTTCACATAAGGTTATTTTGCTAACAAAAGCAAAATGAGTTTAAATACCTCTGCGAATGTTTGTGCATTGGTAAACATTCTTCTTAAAAAATATCTAGAAATTAAAAGAACACAGGTTTGTCTGCTGTTTCTCTGTTGTTCTGGATGCTTTGTCTTTTTTTCCTCAAAAGGTGTAGAAACTAACTGTTTGAAAACATTCCCATGTGTTCTGGATTTCCACCCAAATAAGGCATGATCTTTTAACCCTAGCAGTGCTTTTAGTATTAAATAAATATCACCAAGGTTACATATCGGGCACCCAAGGGAGTGAGGAAGGTAAACATATTTACTTAAACTTCTTCCATCTTGGCACTGCCATTAATTTTTTTTCTCATCCATATTTTTCTTTTTAGGTGGCTTAATTTGTCAATGGCCACCATCATTGTTCTAGTGTCTTCTTCCAGGAGAGTATGAGGGTACCTCAGTAACTATCTTCAGTGACATCACGTTTGCTGCATTAATAGAGAAACAAAAATTGGCTCCGATGGCTTGGAAGCTGAGGGATCATTCAGTTTGATATCGCTGGGGTGCAAACTATGCTCTGATGGTCCCACTTGGTGACAAAACTATCACTTTAACTTCGGAAGAGGATCCAGAGATGCTTTTCCAGGGTCTAGTCCTGCTTGATGCACCTGCAGAAGGGGAAGTGACTGGAAGCATCCAAAATGTGGCATAAAGAAACCCCGGGAAGGCACATCGCTGACCCAGCACAAGCCTACAAAGCCTGGAATTCCTAGACTTTGACATGTTTTTCAGTATGTGAGGCTGGTTACCCACAAGCCATTCTAATATGTTCATTTCATACTGCAGCCAATACCAAATTTTACCGTTATCCTATATCTATATTCCAGTTCCAGAATCTCTAAGATTGGTGTACTACGCACATTTAAGCAATCATTCCTACATGTAAATCTTGCTTCTGCACCTACAGATCACTTGTCATGCAGAACTTTTGTTACATTTCATTTTCATGCTCTATACACTGATGTGAATGTATGCTTTTGTGTACAAAACCCATTAAAATACAAATTTAAAAAAAAAGTAAATGAAGAATTTATTGTGGAAATCATATAGTAGATTTTTCCCTTATGTATAGGTCATGAACTACAAGGAGTTTACATCGTCTGACTATAACAACTGCAGTAGAGAGCAATCTGATGTCATACGGACTTGGATTCTTGAGTCACCAAATATGGGCCATCAGAGAGCAAACACAGAACACCAGAACTGAACTGAAGATACTGTTGCCAAAAGTGTGGTATCAGTAACAACGAGTATTATGTTTTGAAATTCACAGTGTCATGTCTGTTGAAATATATAATATGTATGACTAATCAAATGAACATCAGATTAAAACCACATTTTGTATCATTGTCTGTGACTATAGAAACATAAATAGTCTAAATAGTCAATATTAATTGAAGTAATTAATTATAAGTGAATTTCATTAGAAAAATGTAAACTTAGAAATGAAAATAAAATGACAATGCAATGGAAGTCTGGAGGTCTGGAGGTTATCTAAATGCTAATTATATGAGCAGTTTGTGAAAATGTTGGAATATGTTTTTGATAGATATTCTGTCGATAAATTAAATATTACAGGGTTACTCACTAAATACATAATTAGAAATTTAAACACCCCCCACTTATCCTTTTGGAACTTTGGATGTCAGGCAGAGGGACTCCAAATCCTAAAGAAAATATAGCCAAAAAAAGGTCATGTCCTATGTTTAAGGACCTGCAGGTCTGAAACGCATAAGGTGTTTTTCTTGACTTTTTACCCTGTTTGTCTATTATTGCACCAAGTGAATTAACCCTTTCTCCTCGACTGTCCCACAGAGTGGGACATTTTAATTTTCTCATTATGATTGTATTTCCCACCTGGTGACACATCTGAGTAGCATACAAGTTTGACGATCGTACGCCTCACCCAGAGGGACATAACATTATCGGATAAAGGCGACTTGGAAAAAAATGCACCCACGAAGTGATTTCTATAAATAAATTTGGCAAATTTGGTGAACGACACTGAAATTTTATCCAAGTGGAAAGGGTTAAACTATTTTTGGACTTGGAGCACTTGTTCTGGCATTTTCTTAAATACATTTTTTTTTTTTAGCACTATCTTCATTTAAGGTCATGCTTTTCCGTGTTTGCTCTCTGATGGCCCACATCTGAAAACTCTAGAATAAGTCTTTATAAAGTACAGTACATTGTGTACATTGTCAGATTCCTTGTTACTGCAGCCCGTCATTGTCAGACTATGTAAACCCCTTGTAGTCCATGACCCATACATAAAGGACACGAACAGAAAGGAAAAATATACTAGGTGATTTCCACAATGTATTCTTCATTTAGTTTTTTTTTTTTTTGCTTTTAAGTAGCATTGTAACTTTTACATTATTAATAGAATTATATTCTTTGTAAAAACAACAACAACAATTATTATAAAATACATCGATATTAATGCACAATTAGAAGATATACATGAGGCAATGTAGGGAGTCTAGGGACTATTGTCTCATGTAACACCTGATTTTTAGCAAAATGTGGGAACAAGTGGAGCTTCTACCATCACATTCTACCATTTCCCATGATCTGTTGCTCATGACAGCTGATGGGAAAGGGAATTTTTTAGATGCCTATGGCATCTCATTAATCATGCATGAGATCATCAATGGAAGACACCATAGTCTTGTAAGGTCTTCCATGATCCCGTTTTGCAATTTCACACAAGGGAAGAGTACCGTAGTCAGCTCCTGGCAGGAGAAGACACTAGAATATTGATGGTGGCTTCTGACAAATGAAGCCACCTAAAGAGAAAGACATGGATAAAAAAGATGGCAGTGCCAGGGTGCAAGACGTTCACGTAAATATATTTACCATTCTCCCTCCCCCTGGGTGCCACCTTGTAAGCAGATATGTTACATTTAGGAGTATTATTAATACTACAATCACAGACTGCTAGGGTTAATAGAGCATGCCAAATTTGGGTGGAACTCCAGTACACACAGGATGTATTTTCTTAGCAGTTACTTGCTAGAAATTTTGGGGAAAAAAATAGAGAAAATCCAAAGCAGCAGAACAACAGCAGAACAATCAGCGTTATTTTAATTAATAGATTTAAAAAAAATAAAAAATTTTATAGACAGATGTTTACCAAATGTACGAACATGTGCAGAGGCATTTTTACGCAATGTGCTTTTGTTAGCAAAATAACCTAATGTGAACAAAAAAAAAATATCCCTTTTGTTCAAAATAGACCTTTTGTTCAAAGTGGTATAATATGCAAACAAAGGAAGGAAATCTAATGCCTATAACAAAAATAGAGAATATGAGAACTTTGAGAATGGACAAAAACTTAGAGGAACTTAGTAGCTTGCCCTTCGATAAATCCCCACTCAGGTCTCACTTGTGCTATTACAGAGAGAACCTATACCATTGTACATCAGATTAATCCCACCCATAAGAGCAGTTCAGACCCAAAATGCCAGCAAGTTCTCTCTTCGTGAGAGATACAGCAACCTCAGATGATAATTTCAGCCTTCTTTGGGCCTCGTCAGCGAGGTGTAGCTGATACCACTCTAGGCACAATAAGCAAGGGGCCCCCTTCTGGATTACTCTCTAAATTTTGGGAGAGCCAAGTTAAGGCATTGCAACAAGAACAAAGAATATGAAAACTCTGATAGATGTTTAGCTCCCCCTCCTTCTAACCCCACCCAGTCTTTCTATGGCTATCCAATCACAAGCTTTCCAAATGCAACTAAATGAGAAGCCTTGGCAAGACAGGTGCTCTGAGACATTGTCTGTCTCTTGAGTTTAGCTCCACTAAGCCAATAGGGTGTAACAAAGTTAAAGGAATATAGGCACTAACACAGCTTTACCATAATTAAGTAGTTGTGGTGTATAGATCACGCCCCATGCAGTCTTACTGCTCATTTATGACTAAAATCCCTTTTGTCTGTGTCCAAGCTGAAGTTCCTTAGGAGTCTGGAATGACCCTTTAACAAACATGTATTTGTAAGATGTTAAAAAGCAAAATTACATGAGTATGTTGCTAAACTCATCCTTATATGTCTAAACCACTTCCCAAAAAAATATATTAAAAGATGAAAATTATTATTAAGACTTTAAAATTACAAATTCTCACCCCTGCTATTTATATATATTGTCTCAGCACCCAGACCCATGCTATACGTATTCTGGTCTTGCCCCAACATTTCCTTATTTTGAAAAGTGATAGGCAGACAAATAAAGAGCATTACTGGGACATAGGTCCTGTTTACTCCTGATCTAGTCCTGTTGCAGAACACCCCCTCTCTTTGCGAACATCCTTCATAAAACACATGTTAATGGCTGCGAGGAGCCTGGTCCCGCTCTTCTGGCATCTCCTAGCATCTCACGATAGGGACAACGGGTAAAGAATATCCATTCAATGGAAGTAGTAATTGCCTCTGCTAACCTAACCACTGATAAATAAATTGCTCTTGGTAACCTGGACAAAAATTGTCTCCGGCAACCCATCTTAGACAATACCAAAAACTTATGTCACAACAACCACTCCATCCCTTCTACCACATTTATCGTCTCCCCTTTTTTCTTTCTTTCCTTTACCAACCCCACCACCTTGCTCCATCCTA